AGGGACTATGCCGTCGGTTAAGGGACGTGGTGCAGTCTAATCGGTACGGCCTGTCAAATAGAAGCTTCCTGAGGGACGCTCGTACTGCTCGTTCGCGAGCTACTTTGTAGCGAGCTCGGAATGCTTCAGGGTTACCCTTAGTAGAGTTGGTCCCTGGGATGACTTATCTGCCTGGGGGCTCGGGCGAGCTAGTTTCCCTAGCTCGCGAGCTAAAGTTGCCTCAGAATATCCCTTTCGGAGTAGCTCAGGGAACCCGGAGCTCGCGTTGTGGCGAACTCCTTCTTTTGCGAGCTATGATGTAGCGAGCTGCTTTATAGGCTCGTTACTTAGTCGTACCCACGATGTTGGGTTGTTGCTCGTGCTGAGTCAGATCCACGTGTCACCATTTCGTAGGTCGGGCCAAATCATCCTCCATCACTTATATTATTAAATTATTAACTAATTAAATAATTTAGTAAAATAAAATAAGTAAATAAATAAATAAAACTTTATGTATTATCAACACAAGATTAGTAAAGGCTATCTCAAATTATTTAATTAATTAATTTAGAGTTGTTAATGGGTCGGGTTGAACTACTGGGCTACTGAGCCCATGAACAGGCTTAGCTTGGTTCATGGCCTAGCTTGGCCTAAGACTTGGCCCGTGGACCAACCTAGCCCGTGCAGGCTCAGGCTAAAATAAAATTTTAAGATCTTCTTTAATTTTGTTGTTTATTTTTTTAATTTATGTTAAATTTTTCATTATTTTTTCAAAATTTTTAAAAAACATGGCTTAACCCAATTCATGACCCAGCCTGGCCTAAGACTTGGCCCGCAGATCAGCCCAGCCCATGGCACGGGATGGGCCCATACAGGCTCGGGCCATGTATTATATACAATAATTATATAATATATTAATATATAATTTTATTTTCAATTTTATTATACTGTTTCATTTTATTATTGCATATATAAACAATTGTATACATCATAACTCATATAAAATAAAATTTTAAGATCTTTTTTAATTTTTTATCTATTTAATTTATAAAAATATGACTTAACCCAATTCATGGCCTGATAATAATTATATAGTATATTAATATATATAATTTTATTTTCAATTGTATACATCAAAATTCATATAAAATAAAATGTTAAGATCTTTTTTTTGTCTATTCATTTTAATTTATGGTAAAATTTTATTATTTTTTCAAAACTTTTAAGAAATATGGCTTAGCCCGATTCGTGGCCCAACCTGGACTATGACTTGGCCTGCAACATGACACGAGCCCGTATGGGCTCGGGCCATATATTATATACAATAATTATATAATATATAATTTTATTTTCAATTTCATTTTATTATTGCATGTATAAACAATTTTATACATCAAAATTCATATAAAATAAAATGCTAAGATCTTTTTAAAATTTTTATCTATTTTTAATTTATGTTAACTTTTCATTATTTTTTTCAATTTTTTTTTAAAAACATGGATTAGTTCGGTTTGTGGCAGGCCTGGCCTAAGACTTGGCCCGTAGACCAGCTTGGCCCATGGCACGACACATGCTTGTGCAGGCTCGAGCCAAAGGATGTGTCAGGCCGACCCCCTAAAATATCACAAGGGAGGAAAGCATGGCCTGCATGGCACGACCCAACACGACCCGGTTGTAAATATAATGAGAGATAAAAGATAATTTTTAACAGATATGAAAAAGGTAGAAGTTTAGTGGCATCATTATAAATAATTAGTAGTAGCACCATTGTAAATAATTGCATGTTTAGTATCAAATATAAAAGAGGAAAAAGAGAAAGAACAAGTTATAATTGTTTTTTTATTCAATGGCATCATTGTAATTAATTAAATTTATAATGGTAATGGTTAAAAGCATGAAAAGGGAAAGATTATAGGATTATAAGATTTCATTTAACTTATATAAAAAAGATTCTATTTGGCAAATGCACAGCAATGGCCCTACACCCTTTTGCTTTTAGGTTATATATATAGATAAAGTAAGAATCATATCTTTTTACTTGATTACTTCCTATTTTTACAAATAAATAAGACAAAATCAAATATGAAAAGCCAGAATTTATAATCAATCTATTTACACTCCTATGCACCAGCACAGTTAAAATTACACTGCAAACAAACTGAGCTCGAACAAACTTGGAGGTACCATTTCTTGGCAAAGAAGTCAATAGAACGTAATTTTCTTCTAATCTTGTAGTCCTCTATGAAGAACAAGTTTAGACTAGAATATTTCCGCTCCTTTTCAAAGAGGAAAGAGTCCTTTCCACATAAATGGAATCTTGATTGTCTGCACTTGATGGCTGTGTTAGGGGTTAGACCTAGGCTGGGCTTTTACCACTTATTAGGCTGTGTTTGGTTGCAATATAAACGCAAATATATACTTTATATAAATACTCTCTTTCCTATTTAAGAATGCAAAGTGTATGTCAATCAAATGGTTGCAAATGTGAACCAGGGTACATAAATACCCTAGTTCGACGTTTGTATCACAAACAAATGCAACCTTAATAAAAAATGTCGACCCAAGCTCGAATCCCAGTGTATGTTACACAATATCTTACTTTTATTTTCTAATTCCATATTTTTTACTTGTTTATCCAATCATACATTTCTACATAAAAAATATTGCAGATGAGAAATGGATTGGAAAAATGGAAAAGGTTAGGGCTAGTAGCTTAATAAGTTGCTGAAACAATAAAAGTTATTTCCTAATTACCTATTACTAATATATATTTTTATTATTTATAATACTATCAGGCTGGACTCAGGCTTAGGCTGGGTTTATTTAAAAAGTCCAAGCCAGGTTGGCATTACTTATTTTAAGGACTTATCTCCTTTTTACAGTTAAAATACCCTTATGAACATCAAGTTTTTAACTACAAAAAGAAAACAAATCCTTAAAATAAGGAATGCCAAATGCAGCCTTAAACCTGATAAAAAGGGCCATGACGGACAAGCCCACCAGGCTCCTATTTAACCAACAAGAATACCCCCAACCAGGCTGCTATTAAGCAATAAGAATACCCCCAACAGAAACACACACACACGAAGGACAGATCAGAATTAAACTTGATGGGTGGTGTTGGGTGGGGAGCCTAATACAGCCATCTAAGACTAAGTGCCACATGTAACCAAAGCCACATTCAACATTTCCCCATATTAACATGGGAGATGTTTAAGGTGGCGAGAGAGAGAGAGAATTTGTGCTAGATATGCTAAGCTTCGGCCTGAGGAGCCCAGAAAATGTACACCATGCATTCTTGCCAATCAGTCTTCATGTCCACAGAGTGAGAAAGAGCTCGTAGGTCGACAAGAGAAGAATGGATCCATGAGAAATGAAATAGGGTATTCTTGCTACATCGTGCTCTACGAGTCTGGGTTGAGTTTGGGGTGTCAGTTGGACCAGATTTGACCCAATCCAATCCGGTCCAATATGAATTCATTACAGATGGACTAGGCCCAATCTAATATTCTAGACCATTTTCGATCAGTCTAATTTAATGCCTGGACTCTGGACCATCCAATCTATTCAAATTGGTTTTGATTTAGATTGGTCTCCACCCAAACTTGGTCCATTGACACCTGTATTATTATATTTTATAAATGTATCAGATATTGGCTCAATCCAACCCAATCCAATATAAATCCATTATGGATGGACCAGGTCCAATCCAATCTAATCCAATAAATACTTTTGACCATTATGTGTAGTCAAGTCCAATTCAATATGTTCCATTCATGGTTTTCAAAACCGGACCGGACCGGACCAGACAGTTGGATAAGAAAAACCGAGAATCGGTAATGACCGGTTCCATTTTCCCCCAAAATCATTGATTTTGGTCAACAAACCACTGAACCGGCCAATTAATCGTTCGAACCGTTTTAACTATTTTCTATTTTTTTTTATTTTTTGTCAGAACAGGCTGACCGTTGGAACTGGTAACCGGACCCCTGACCGGTTCGGTTTTAAAAACCATGCATACTACTACTTTGAATTACGCAGTTACGCTCATTTTATAAAGTGCGTAATCGTCCAAACGAGAGCCCAACGGACAGGGTGCGCTAGGAAGAGCATGAAAGGAAAGAAAAAGGAGCAAAAGTAAAACTCAACTTTTGAGGTTTTCGTTGTAGAATTTGCAGTGAGAAGGCAAGGTGGGTAGTAGACAAGACTTGACGTCAGAGGTCAACTCCTTTCTGCAGGGCAGCCCTTTTCTTTTCGGGTGAGCCTACAACCATTCATTCACTAATGTTAGAAAACCAGAGCAACAGTACAGATTACAGAACAGTGGCTGGCTTTCGCCGTTTGAGAAAGGTTTTCTTGTCTTTGGGGGTGCCCCCGCCCCCCCCCCCTCCCCTTTCAATATTCCAACCCTAACCTCTGATGTCTACCAGAAAGTCAGCCCCCTGCCAATGCCAAGATAACTGCCAACATACGACCCTGTCGTCTAGCACATGGTCATAGGTCCATAACTCCTCCATACGTTAGGTTGAGCTTGGAAATCAACGGAACTAAAGGACCCAAAGAATCCATACCTCTACTTGCTTCACAATAGTTGCAACCCAGCTCTCAGCTCTCAAAAAAAAAGCTGAATCAGCTGATGATACGAATGATAAAATCATAAAACCAGTTGATGAGCACTGCATTTCAGACTGATTCGTTAAAACCCAGCTGCCAGTCTAGGAGAAAACCAAAAATTTTCCATTAGGACTTTCTAAGCGGCGGGTGGCCATCCAATAACTCTATAATTACCTTAGCAGCGGCTGTAATCGGGGGTTGTGGTTGGAGGTAACTCTGTATTCCGGTGGATTATTTTGTTTAAATGCTTTTCTCATCTCCTCACTTCAACCAAAATTTCTAATATTCATCTTTTCCCCCACAAAACATTACCGTTTTAACACGTGAAAGATTTTATTAATCAATTGGGTGAGCAAGGGAGACAAGTTAGGTTCCACAGACCACAGTAATCTCAACGAGAACAAAAGTCAATCATGCCGAGTTGGACAAACATTGCTACCAAATTGACTAGTTCACGTAAAAGTTTAAAACAATGAAAGAAAAAGGTGGCACTAATGAACATGCCAAACTTCCTCATCCTTCGTACCATCCATCATATCAAACAACTAAAAAACTCTATGGAGACAAATAAATATCATCTGTGGAAAAAAGAAAGAAATTAAAGAAGAAAACATACATTTTCACCTGCATTTTATTCACCACAAAAAAGAAAAGCCTTCCATGCCTCTTGCCTTCACCCACCATGTGAATTTTGTAGCCTACCCACTCCACAGAATCGCAGGTGAAAAGGGGGAAAGCGAGGCACACATGCGAAATTTTTCCTTGAAATGATCTACGCACAAAAATTTAAAAAAAAAAAAAAACAAAAAAACAAAACAAAGATCAACAAGAAAAGCTTTAATCGGATTGATCATGTGGAAGTTCTGAAGTAGGTGAAGTCTGGGTTGGAGTTGCTTGTTGTGGTGGACTTTCCGGAGGCTTTGTATCTGGGTTCTGATGCTTGGTAGTGGAAACCTCGGGCTTCCTGTCAGGCAACCTTGATGACTTAGAAGGAGAAGTTTCTGCTGAGCGGGCCATTGGTGAGTTTCTCTGATAAGGGAAAAGAGTTGGATCTGGCATAGACAGAGCAGGTAGACTCATGCTGTAACTAAAATATGCTCCCAATGGGTGATCATATTTGCAAGTTGGACCATATTTGCAGATCCCATACAAAGTGTAGAATGTACATACAGCCTGGCCCTGCGTATGAGAAAGAACATGATGTGAGGCACCAAAACCAATATGATCAATAATATGATTGACTAGGTATGCAACTTACAGGTCTCAAGGGGAGACCAAGCGGACCAAGAGTGCTTGTAGCAAGGGGAGCAATTCTCTCTTTTGGATGATGGTACTTGCAAGTGGGCCCAAATTTGCAGCTTCCTGTCTTCATGTAATACTGGCATTCTGGTTGGTCGGGCCTCTCGGGAAAATGTGGAACAGATGTTGACAACAATTGGACCTGTCCACTTGAACCTGACTCACCCTGTGGTTTGGAGTTGTAGGCAATATTGGATCCAAGAACACTGGTAGAAGAAATGGGGCTCAAGGTGCCCTGATTGGCAAATGAAAATATGAATACGTATAGCATAACTATATAGTACCAAACAGGTCAAATAAGTTAGTTACCGATATTTCAATGGTCTAACAATGTTTTGCTGTTGTGCAAATTGTGTTAATAAGTGGTGAAAAAATAGTTATCACAACCAACTTAGATCTTGATAGACAGAGATAAGCATGTCATGGGACTTCAGTCCAACCACGAACCAATTCTTGGGTCAATTCTTAAGTGCTTACTGCGGTGGTAGACCATGTCAAGAAGTCCAATATTAATCTCTTTCCACCCCTTCGCATATCTATTCTCCCATGTTTTTTTTAACTTTATAGTTCAAACATTATAAGAATATTCCAAAACCAAATGGTTCATTCAAAACCACTTAGGTTGCATGGTTAACTATGAAACTGCACGACTTACCTGGGTTCTACTTTGAAGCATAACGGGTCCTTTATCCAGAAAGACTTGGAATGATTGTCAGGACTCTGGGTCTGCTAAAAACAAGAAATGTAACATGGGCCAGTACACCAAATTAAAAAAAAAAAAAGGGATAAGTGGACTGCACTCCCCCTCAGAAATCTGAAATTACAGCCACCTCCGCATCCTGCCCATGGATTTGGCATCAATCCATGGTCAGGATTCAGCCCACCCCTAGAAATCTTAGCTCCACCCTATGGGTGGACTGTACAGTTAAAACTCCTTAAAATTAAGCACATCAGTGATCTGTACTGTTACCAGATGTACCAGAAACTGACATGTCTATTACTGATTGGGTGCACTAGCCTGTGTTACACATCTTGTTTCTAGCAGATCCAGGCCCAGTTGTCAGTTCCCCACTTTATCTGGTCAACCAGACAATTTGGTCTGCTTTTATAAGTGAAATAAGAAATGGAACAAAATAAAGCTTTCCACCCAATGAGCATGTCAATGATTGCTGGCAAGGATAATAGGACAATATTTTTTTGATCAGCAATGATAGGAGAAAATATTATTAGTTATTGATTGAACAGATTAATAATTATGTATATTCATTGTGCAGACATTAAAAACAATAGTTGACACCTTAGTAATCAGAGTTTCCACTCCATTAACGAACTCAATTAGATCATCTATTGGGACATTGGGTACATATAGTGCTGCCAAAGTTCTATAAAAAAAAAGATGCATCCAAATTCTGGTATGAAATTTGCATGAAAGCAGAAAACCACATCAATATGCAATTCAATTGAAGAAACTTACTGACCGTATAAGTGTTCCACCCCTGTTGTGCAGGTATGATGCCCTGGGAAGGTGAAAGAACAACAGGCATGTAGGCCTGGGGACCTTGCATGCGGGGACTAGAAATATATGGTGCTCTCGGTAAAGACCAAGCTGGAATTCCACTTATATAGGGTACACCAGATGGAGGAGCTACTGATGAGCCTGTAGATCCATAGGCAGTGGGTCCGGTTATAGGCGATACAAGTCCAAGTGTTGCAGGCTGAGGATGATGGAACTTGCAAGCCATTCCAAACTTACAAGACCCAGTTCGCATGTAATATGGGCAAGATTTTTCTTCCTATTAAAAATGAACTACTGTCAAAATTGCATGTATCACCTTGTTTGGAGTTTAGAAGGGAAAAAGTCAGAATGATGCAACATCACAATCCAATCCGTTCCAGATACATCAACCATTTGAAGCAAGCACCACCATATCACGGATGGAAGATGAAAAATATAAAATCAAAAAGTAGTAAATACCTGACGCATAGGCAGACCTAAAATGTTTAGCAGAACATGTGCTGTATCATGCCGGTCTCGTGGATGATGATATTTACATGTTGCTCCAAATTTGCAAGTTCCTGTCTTTAGGAAATACTGCAAAGTACATAAAGGCAGAGAAGCACCAATTACAAAGATTGTTTCCTTAGAGCCTAATTTCCTGTGTATAAAACCCGACATAGAGGAGAACAATAAGAGATTGCAAAGCTGGATCCCTTTGCCTTAATGAATTAGAAATGTTAAAAGAACTATTTGCATGAAAACAACCACTCTTTTCATTATTTTACTAGTATTTTCTCAGAAATGCTTTTCTTCTATTATTCAGAAATGGTGAGTACTTAATATTATACACTAATTGTCATGATATAAACACCATACAAACAGAACGAAGGATCGTGTTAGCCATGAGAAGCCACCCATATCCATATCAACTGAGTTAAAAAATTCTAAATACAACATCTCAAGGTCCAAACTTTATTAGAAGCATACACTAATTGTTATCTGTTTGAATTGCATTGATTGTAAATATGCCACATTTCTAAATACATGGCACTCTTGCATAAACAAAATTATTACAATCACTTCCTCTTTTACAGCCGTAAACCAGAGTTACTCTGCTTCAAGGGGTACAACATGTCCAGCATTCTGCACATTAACCTCTAGGAATCACACAAAAGGGGAAATGACCATATACTCAACTCAACTAAGCCCTGTCAACCATATGGAGTCAGCTACATGAATCCTGTTCCACCATTCTGCTCTGTTTAATGCTATATCCATTCTTAAATTATGGGCCCTTAAATCATTTCTCACTACTTCGACCTACGTCCTATTTGCATGAAATCATTTCTAGACCCCTCAACTTGTAACAGATTGCTTCTCATTGGTGTTGCCAATGTTCTTTGCTTGTGAACAAACTATCATAGACTACTTTTCCTCATTTTTTAATGTTTTTGATTCTTACTACTTTTCCTCATTTTGTCACCCAATGAAGCTACTCCTAGGTTCCTTTAAATAAGTTTATTTCTAATCCTATCCTTTCTAGTTTTACCACTCATCCACCTCAACATTTGCATTTCTACTACACATTTTTTTGGACATGTTGTTTCTTGACTATCTAACACTCTGCTCCATGGTCCATACAACACTGCTGTCCTTACAACTACCATATAAAATTGCCCTTTACTATGTGGTATTCCCCTATCATAAAGGACTCCTGATGCAGCCCTTCACTTTGCCCATCCTATCCTACTCTAACAATGAGCAACTTTACTTACCTTCTACAAAAAAAGGAAAAATAAATAAAAAAAAAACTATGAGTAACATCCTCCTCAATCTCTCCCTTGTAATGAAAGAGTTACATTGAGATATCTCTTCCCAAGTATGCCCTGATTTCCACTCCTGTTATTAGTTTTTTTTCTGAAAAAAGGTAAAGACATTTCATTATACTCCACTATAAACACCCTTGTACAATGAATTTCTGTATAACAATTCACAGGGTACTTAACAAGCCAAAAAAAAAAAAAAAAATTATAGGCAAAAAAGAATTGCAGAACTCTCCACTGTATATGTTACTATCAGAGAGCATGTCCTCTAATCAAAACAAAAACAAAGAGCTTATTATAGATTTTACTGAGTTTTCTTGTTTGTCAAAATGCTGAGCATTCTTTCCAACCATGTAATCCAGATAATAGCCAGGGGAAGCCAAAGCTGACCTGCCTCTCTTGCTCATATTTTGAATACACCACCCAGCCAACAGCTCAGCAACAGACTTAGGATGACACCCTTGCCATTGAATAATGGATTGATAGTGGGTCCACAACCTGCTGGTGAATTTACAGTGGATGAACAAATGACTAGAAAATTCCAGATGCTCTTCACAAAGAGCACGCACAGTGTTGTCCAGCACCAGACCCCTTCTAATCAAATATTCCATAGATTAACATTTGTCCAACATCACCATCCAAGTAAAAAACTTTACCTTTGAGGGAGCCATATTTACCCCATAACTCTCTAAAAGGGGATGTTAGGTCTCCTCCAGTTAGATTCTTGTAGAAGGATTTAACTGAGAATGAACCAGAGCTATGCCACTTCCAAAGTCTCAAATCCCTCACCTGAAAATCAAACTTCTGATTAAGAATCAAAGACAGCATGTCTGAGATCTGCCCCAGTTCCAAAGTCTCAAACCCTTCCTAAAGGCAGGATTTCACACAAAATTTCATCTCACCAAATAAAAAAAAAAAAAAATCAGCAACTGATGCCTCCTTATTACAAACTAACCAATATAGATCTGGAAACAAAACCTGCAAAGGTTGTTCAGCACACCATGAGTCTTTCCAGAACCTGACCCTGCTTCCATCACCCACCTTGTATTTCAAACCTTTCACAAAATGGGGAAGGCTTTACAAATACCTCTCCAAAGGCTGCAACATGTGATAATCAGGAATCTTTGCATCCCATCCATTGTTCTGAATCCCTTACTTACCCACTATGATCTTCCTCCATAAGCCATCTAACGACTCCTGCTATTATTAAATTTACATTGCATATATTTTGTTTGTCATACTTTAAAACCTTTTGTTTCTATTAAATTTATCCATAAATCTAATTTTGCATTTAATCCCTCTTTATTTCTGTTGAAATATGTACTATATGCCGCAGGGGCATTTTTGTCTTTGGTCACCCTAACATATAAATATAAATATTAAATCTGATCGCCCTAACATATAAATATAAATATTAAATCTGGTTGACCTAACATATAAATATTAATTTTGCCTTTTGTCTTCTTCTTGCTGAAAACAATTTCCATTAATTAATACTATGTCGTCAACAAAGAACATACACTATGGGACCTCATGCTGAATATGGTTGCTGAATTCACACATGATTAGTGCAAACAAGGGCAGAGTGTCAGGATTCAACCATATTAATGATGCAAAATTAAGTGGGCCTCCTAAGAGGCAGAGAGAGAAGATCGTGGAAAGAAAATGAAAGAAGGCATCATATAAAGAAGCTTTTCAAGAAACATTACTTCAAAATAACATGCTTTTGTATATATTTGCACCTTATCTAGCAACATTATATCTCATTGTGTTAATATACTTTAACACTATTTCTAAATATTTTTTGTAGAATAGGATAGGTGACACATTAAGTAACACCAGAGCCCACAATCAGTAACACTAAGAGGTAAAGCAAAAAATTAACACAGAAAACTTGCATGCTTTAGAAGATTTCTAGTCACTAAGTGGCAAGCAATGCAATTGCAACAAAGATACACAGAAAATTCAATCGAATAGATATTTTGATGAACCAATTAAATAACAAAAGACAGCAAAGAAAAACTGACCTGCTTTTCTAGATTTCCCGTTGCCCATGGATGCAGAAATGATAACTAAAAGCCACTTTCAATTTTGGTTAAGAAATGCGATAAGCACTAGGAACTTCAAGCTTGCAGCTTGCAATCGTGCCCTTGGAAATTAATCAATACACTAGTAGAAAAGCTCAAGACCCCGTCTATGAGGACTTAAGTTAAACTGCTTAACAAAAGCAGCTGGAAAGAGTCAAGTAATGTTTGATGAGCATTTGGGAGGTTTTGCCCTTAAAAAAAAATAACAGTGGCATAAAAGCAATGAAATTTAATGTAAAGAAGAGAGAAAAGGATAATTTGTCTTGCATAAAATGTTTTAAATGGAAAAAACATGGAGAGTTGGGCCAAAGCTAGAAAAAGAAGCTTGGGGTTAGAACCATTCAAGTGGCTGAGAAACAGCCACCTCTGGCTCTCTGTGCCATACACCAAACATTATTTTTGAGCTTTCCATGCCTTGGAATCCATGAAAGCTGAAAAGCAGTGGGATAGCCCTTCAAAACCAGTGCTCAGTTTCTTTGATTAGTTTTGTAACAATAAAATATCCAGTTGACAGGTTTGAGGACATGGGTTTATATGTCTAAGAGCAGCCACTTCGTGCAAGAAAATGCCAAACATTAGGTCCATATCCAATTGACAGGTTTGAGGACATGGATTTATGTCTAAGAGCAGCCCTTTGTAAAATTCAATGTTTGCTTACATTTTTTTTTGATAATTAATGTTTGCTTACATTATCCACCATGTAAAGTGTGCAATGAGTAAGGCATACGCCTTGACCACATTACACCAAGATGTGGGAAGCACACTCCTTATCCAGCTGAGTACATCTCCTTCAAATGTTTGGAAGAAGCATAGATCGGCAATTCAGCAGTCAACTTGGAGGCTCAGCTGAATTGATTTGGCTTCCAATACTAAAAAATCAAACCGTGGTATTGCCTCCTTTTATGTAAGACCCAGCCAAGTCATTACGTTAACTTAGGTAATAAGAGACTTGACTGTGTCTTGAACAAAAGGTGATTCTGTTGGAAAAATTTGATAAAACAAAAGGATGGTGATTGGGAAAATCCCTTTGATGGAGGATGCATATCACTATTAATTATTGAAAAGCACATCTTCTAAAAGAGAAAAACAACCCAATTTTGACTTTTGCTCTTAGCCAAAGCCATCGTCACAAGAGAATACAATCATATAGACCATGGCCAGCTTCTTCAGCTCCATTTAGAGTTCACCTGCTACTGTGGTTAAAGAACTATACACCATCGCATCTACCTTTTATACAGTCATTCAGACTAAGATCATCCTCTATCACTCCATTTAGAGTTCACCTCACACTGTAATGAAAGAAATATACACTATAGCATTTCAAATGGGTTCATAACTATAATTCCGCATTTTTGCACACAGACCAAGTAAACCCATAAAAAGGAAATGACCACACCTCTTAGGCCAACAATTGAATCACACAGGTTTCCCCAATCAAACATGATATAAAAAAGTACTACTTGAGAAGTCCTATAAACAGAAAACTACGAGATGCCTTCAACAGTTCAACAACAGTAGTACACAAGGTGCTACGATGATGCATCCACCTTTTATCCCCCACCCCCATTAAAGATCCTAGGATTTAGTGTACTTCTACAAATTATTCAGCTAACAACAAAAAAGGAAGTACTTTTAGTTATGGGCATCATGATAAAAACTGGTGTGCATAGCACAGCAGAATCCATACACAGAACTTTCACTACATACACCACTTTTTCTTTGGTTCTCTAACCATATTTCCTCTGGTTTAAGGTGATGCAAATTAAATTTTCAGGGAGAGGGACTATGGGTTCACAGCTAGTAATGATAATCTACTAAACCATTAAAATGCTGAAGTTAGACAAAAGATAAACATTTGTTAAAATCTCTCATGGCACCAAACCAAGACTCACAGCAAAGAATTACACCACTTTTTCCTTTGGTTCTCTAACCATATTTTGTCTGGTTTAAGTGATGCAAATTAAATTTGCAGGGAGAGGGATTATGGATTTACAGCTAGTATTGATAATCCACTAAACCATCAAAATGCTGAAGTTAGACAAAAGATCAACATTTGTTAAAATCTCTCATGACACCAAACCAAGACTGACAGCAAAGAATTTTTTTCATTCTTTTTTGGAATATGTATAAAGAGAATAAAAATGGGACATATCAACTCATTTTGTTTACATATACTATGATGAGATAATGCTTCTTAATTTCATATTTTAATTTCTCATACCATTTTAATATGGGAATCACAGGAATTGGAGAATTAGCTTAAATGTGAATAGTACAAAAGATGGCAAACCAACTCACTCTTTTCATAGAATTACAAAGTATACCCAATATAATGATCAGATTTCATTCTCAAAATACCAAAGAAAATGCATGTGATGTGATGTGAACAATCTCGACTTTTGAAGATCATATACCTGGCAATCAGGTTGTCCAACTCTTTCTGGTAGTTCACCTCTGTATTGAACAGCCTGTACAAACAAAATGGTTATAAATTGTTGTAATGGAGCATGATATAGTTTTGAAAAAGAAAAGCAAGCCCAAAATGGATCACCAGTTGAAGACCTTAAACCATAACATATAAGCACCTTTTCAGTGATTTTACAAGGACCAAGATACTAGCAACGGTACAAAGCATACAGCTGGCCAGTCAACTTGGAGTGGAAAACATGATAGTTGAGGGGGACTCCAATGTAGTAGTGGGCTGTCTGACAAATCCAGAAACAGTTTGTTGGGGTTACAGGGATCTTTTAAAGAATTAACTGGCTGACAAGAAACATGACAGTTAGGATTCAGTGGGTTAGCAGATCGGCAAATGCAATGGCTGGTTCTCTGGCTAAACAAGAGGTATCAAGGGGAGATCTGTTTTGGGCTACTTTATAATTGTAATTCAAGCTTGTGTGTGTTTATGTGCATATTGTTCAGTCCTAGGGGGAGGTAACACCCCCCATGCCTCCTCTTGGGTTGATTGTACACTCTTTCTTTGTTTAATAAAATTGCATTCATTTATCAAAAAAAAAAAAAAAAAACATATAAGCACCCTCTCAATAAATGAAGCCCCATTAAATCCAAATATTTCGAACAGTTTCACAATAACAGTGAAAGATATAGGAGTGCCAAAATAGAGCATTTTCAAGAAATTTCCATACTAGACAAACAACTGTAAATTGAATAGACAGCGGCCATATAGTAAATATGTTTTACTTATCAAACAAGAATGTGTATTTACCCGTCCAGCATAAGCAGGATGATTAAAACGGCAATTGCTTCCATAACCACATAACCCTGTCCTTAAATAATATATGCAATCAGGTTCACCTGGGCGATCTGGGTACGGACTGGAGTTGGCAGCAACACCCTCTTGATTATCATGAGGCTGAATTTTCAAGCGCCACATGCTGTCTACAATTGATAAGAATGTAAAATCAATATATTTGCAGCAATTAGAGATTCAATCATGAATGCATTGCATCCGAACCAACTATTCCGAAGAGCAGCCCATTCCATTAGAAGAACAAAATGGAGAAAAGACACAAAATAAAACCCAAAATCAAACAACAGAAATAAGTCAAATAACAGCTCTAAGCAGCTTATGGCATTCCGGACTTAACAAAACAATCAATGTTTGAAATAAAACCAACTGAAAATACCCAATTAAAGATCAACCCAAAATAAACTTACTATGGTGTCAATGCCATTAAACAATAACAGGGTAATGATCAGGTATCAAGAGAAGAAAAAGAAACAGCGAGAGAGATCAAGTTACCTTCAAGGTTATCCGCCGAGGCATTATTAAAAGAAGTAGACACACCATTGTTCTGAGCTTGCCAATTATCCGGCATCGGTAACGAACTAAAACCCTTAGGCAATCTACTAACTAAAACGATTAAATCACCACAATCCCCTCAAGAGAAAAGGGGGGAAATCGTGAAAAAAAAAAAGGAAAGAAAAGAAGTCTTCAAATTTCTTCCCCTCGAAACAGCATTCAACCAATTTCACCAAAAACACTACCAGCTAGCAACGATCGATCCCTCATTCCATCAGCAATCCCAAAACACTCGATTTTTACTAAATTACCACCAATTCAAGCCGGAAGACCGCCAGATGGAAGAGGAGAAATCGAAGAATTGGAAATAACTTACTGAAACCAACCTATATTCTATTCATTGATGTTCCGATGACAGATTGGGAAGAAAAGATCAGTTGATTGATTCCCGTTTCTTTTGTTTTCGCTTTATTTCGGATTCAAAGTCGAGAAAATTGGGGATCCTTTTGCGTCTTTTTATTATTTTTAGAGAGAGAAAAGCAAGTGCCCGAAATATGAAAAGGGTTCTCCTTTTTCTTTCTTCCTTCCAAATTCCAACTTCTATTCTCGGGTACCTGCACTTAAATTCTTAAATATTAAACATTAGTCCCCTTAATTAATTAATCTTATACACTTTAATTAATTATAGTTTCTCTTTTTGGAAATTACATTTCATTTAATAAAAACAAATCCTCACCGTAAATGAGCGCGAAACCTCTTGCTCTTGCGTAAGCAGTTGTAAGCCGTTGGATGTAAGATAGAATGGGCCCCGCAGAACCCTTTCACACAAACCACGCGGCGGCCAGCGGCCTTGGGGTTAAGTGGGTCCCCCGGACCCCACCACGGTCACCAGTCACCACTCCCTTGCGACGATACTTACCCGGCGATTTGTGCGCCCTCGGTCCTCCGAGCACCTCTCTACCTCTGGCCGCCCGGAAGACGTGCGGAAGACGAGAAGACAAACTTTCCTTGAAATTACATAATTACCCTTCTATTTCTAATCCCCTCCTGACTCGTGCTCCTCCTTCCTTTAGTGTTGGACATTGTGGTCTTCTACAGTCCTCGTATAGCGTCTGGATTTCCTATCCACATTACATCGCAATCTTACATAGAGAACATCTTATCCTCTTACATGTTAGATGTTCTTAATTTACGGAAATAGTGTTTTATGGGTAAGGCGTGGGTAGAATTGTTGTGGGCATAGAGTCCTTGTATGACACTATACGTTGGAGATTCGATATTTAATTTTAACGTCCTTTCGTATTTTAATCTAGGCCATCCATTTCGGGGGCCCATTTTAAGAGATCAACGGACTTGAAGATCATCGACCATTCGCCCCAATCCCTTTTGGTGTTTTTAGAACAAGTAGTTCTTTCATGTTGCTAAGGCTTAAGAGCGCTTCCACGGATGATAGCTCTCTCTCACTCTCAACCGTCTGATGTCATCTCTGCTTGAGAACGGGGACTTTGTGTAAGGTGGGCTCTGCTCTGCTGATAATACACGTAGTAGGTCTAGGGAGCACTCTATCATTTCCTCTGACTTTGTTTGGGCATCGTCTATTTACAACAAAAACTGTGATATATATTTGGTATTTGTTTATTGGTAGCCATACACGTGACCGAATCGAATCGAGGCTCGTGATACCAAGTGCCAAATGATCACAATCATCAGTATTATATATTTTCCTCCCGATCAATAGGATCCATAAACATTTTTATATAAACAAGACATACCTTTCCAAGTATTTCGTATATGTCAGAATTCTAAGGGGTCGTAACAATTAACCCCCCATATTTATTTTGTCAATTGTCAAGAAAACCCGCTCTCAACTTAGGATTCCACAATATTGCCCTCAAATCTAATGGTGGGAGCAGAGTTTTTTTTTTTCTTTTTTTTTTTTTGGATTGGGGGTAAGTGCCACTACTCCTTGATATATATGGTGGTTGATTGTAAATAACTCAAATAAGTAAACCTAATGAAGAGGGTCATCCGAATGAAGTGGGATCTGTTCACAGTTACATTCACCGTGCATTGGAAATAACTCCGGTAAATAATAATTAAAAATACGGGAGATATTCTCAATGCATGTTAGGATGTACGTATGAGGCGCCAGGTGTGAAAAGTAGATCCGGTTTCCAAATCCAGTCACATTATTTTTGGAGACAATTGGTTAGAGGTACCAACCCACATTCTACATGTGATGTGGTACGTTTACAAATGGGATTCAAGGCTTACCTACCTCCTTTTTTATTTATTTATTTATTTATTTAATCATTCATTCGGTTTTTAATTATACAGCTTTATTTTTTTTTATATGTTTATATCAAATTTGATTGTTGGTCCATAGCCTCTTCTAAAAGTGGTGCTTAGGACCACTTGCCGAAGGTATGGAATTAACATTAAGGGGGCATTCCATGACATGAGTGGTGTTTGGTTTTATTGAGTTTTTTTTTTATTTTTGAAACAACAGCGTTGCGTTTTTTGTTTTTTTTTTTCTTTTTTGGTAAGTTTTTTGAGAAAACCGCAATGCATTTGGCTTAATATTTGTGTTGATGTGGCAGTTATTTTTTGTTTTTAAAAACAAAACAATCACATTATTTTGTCAAATGGGAAAATCTATGATACCGGAAAGGTATAGTAATGGAAGAGCCTGACCAATCAAAATCCACCCATGAATTTTGATAAATATCATTTGATTGGTTAACATGTTTACAATACCGGTTGATTAGTCACAAGTTCTTTGCATATGATGTCTTTCAGGTATCATAGTTGAACCCATTATCAAATACCCCCTAAGACATCCAAAACATAGACCTGTTCATGGGTCGGGCTCGGGCTTAGCTTTTGCCAAAATTTCAATGGCCCAGCCGAAAGCCCGAGGCCGACATAGTGTAAAGTTAGGCCTGAAGCCCGACCCGTGAACAGGTCTACCAAAACGCAGCTCAGCATTACAAAAAATCAACTGCACATTATGTTTTGAATTTTTGATAGCTTTATAGCTTGTTTGGCATTGAAGCATTCCACAAGTGTTCCGTTTCACCAATGGGCTCCAATTCACAAGTGATTCTTTTCACCATTTTTTTCCAAAAAAAAAAAAAAGGAGGGGATGCAAGCTAACTAGGTGTTTAAAGTAATTTAGCTTCATATATAATATATTTATAATGACAATTGTGTGATATCTCAAAAAGTAGTCAACTTTTTCAAATTTCAATGTGCCATGTCACCAGGGAAATTGATCAGGATCACCTAGGCAATTCAAGAAATGTCAATTTGACGTTTCAAGAAACCCTTCCTTTCCTGAATTCCAATGGTAATTGTTCCGGTTATGGTTGAACTGGCCTCAAGTGCCACCAGTCAGCACAACATCACCAGATAAGCACGACCTAGATAGGAGAGCGCCGTACAAAGAAGGAGGACAACTCCGTCGGAGATTAAGTCTTATCCCAAAGACATCGATGGACAACCTCATCCCAACAACCCCAGAAGTCTCATCCAATTTGGACACAGATCTTTGGCTATAAGTAGGTAATCCCCACTCGAGGTAAGGGACTTTTTGACTCTTCAGCCTCCATACTATTATTCTGCTCGGACCAGCATTGCTCTCAACTACTCGACCCAACACCCATCTTTCCTTACTGACTTGAGCGTCAGAGTGTCTACACGAGGAATCACTCCTCGAGCCTCTAATCTCTTTCTTGGTTTCAGATCTTTCTGCGCGACTTCATCCTTCCACCTCGGCCTCGTCTTATTGGTAGGACTATCTGACTGCGTCCTTGGTTCGGAACACCTCGGATCGGACAGCATCAAATTGGTTCCGTTTGTGGGAATCGGATAAAAAGCCATTCCGAACTCTCTTTTCATGCAGGAAAGATGCTAAGAAACACACCCGACTACTCTACAGACCGATCCCCATCTCGGGGATCCCGCTCTCACCACAATCCACAATGTGAACCTCAACAATAGCCTCAGTCGCAGGCCATGGTCGACCCTGCCAGTTTCAAGCAATGCAATAAAAGGTGTCGACCAGATCTTGGCAATGATGCAGACACTGGGCCCTATGGCACAACCTCCTCAGGTCGTCCATCCTCCTGCCTCGACGCTTACTGTGGCCGATCCTCACCCTGAGGACTCCAAAAAGCGCTGGTCAAACAAGGGTAAGGCACGGTTTAACCAAGAAAGACAGGAAACATCAAGAAGATTAGGCTCCTCGGCCTGGTCTCGTGAACGTGACGACCGTAGAAGAACACACCGATTTGCCCAGATTCTGACGAAAGAAAGGCTTGGCAAAAGGACACAGCAGCCGCCGGTCTCCATCGCTGAATCCAATTTGGTCAAGGATCACCCAGTGGCACCCAAGAAAGAAAAGACCAGGCATGCAACACCAGACAATAGGGATGGAGAAATCAGGGAACTCAGACAACGCCTGACCGAGCTAGAGAGTAGCCAAACTGAGAGAAGCGCGGCTCCTCCCATGGTCAGCCCACGGAACCCAGCAATCAGCCCGCCAAAGAGCCTGTCTTAAGCCAAGATATTGTGGATGAGCTCCCCCTAGCCAGTTGGCGAGCCCCATAGTTTGAAAGGTATGATGGAACCATGGACCCCAGTGACCACCTTGAAGCCTTCAAGGTCTAGATGATGTTGTACAGCTCGTCCGAAGGCCTAATGTGCAAAGCTTTCATGGTGACCCTCAACGGAGTGGCTCTGACGTAGTACCCCTCCCTTCCCTCGTGCTCTATCTCCTCTTGGGAACAGCTAGAGAGCCAGTTCCTTGCGCAACTCACGGCCAGCCAAAAACACCAGAAGACTTCGACAAGCCTCATGCAGGTGCGACAGAGGAAGGGAGAGTCCCTCAGAGAGTACCTGGCAAGATTCAACTCTGAAGCCCTACAAGTCCGAGCACTAAACCAATCGGTGGCCGTCACAGTTGTCATGCACGGCCTACACCCCTCTCCGTTCAAATTCTCAATCTCAAAGAATCCTCCTCAGACTGTGGCCGCGCTGATGACTCACACCTAAAAATACATCAACGCCGAAGAAGCACAAGCACACTTGAGAGGCGAGGAAGAACAACACGACAACAAGAGGAGAGAGCCTGATGACCGCAAGACAGAAAGGGCGGACAGAGACAACAAGAGGCAGGACCGCCTACCAGACCGAAGACCAAGGACCCCACCGCCAACCTATAGAAATTTCACGCCGTTGAATACACATCGGTCTAAAATTTTGATGCAAATTTGTGACCACAACTACGCCAGGTGGCTGAGAAGATGAAATCCCAAAACAACAAGAGGAACAGTGACAAGTACTGCAAGTTCCATCGAGACCATGACCACAAGACAGACATTTGCTATGATCTGTGGCACCACCTCAAGGACCCGATCAGGCACGACTACCTCGGAGGGTTCATCGATATCAAGGAAGACAAGCCCAAGGAAGAACCACGCCAAACAAACTGACCTCCAGCCCGAGCTCCCCCCGCCGGAGTCATTGTTGTGATCTCAGGAAGGATGGCTTCCGGGGGGGAGAGCAGAAGAGAAGGCGAGAGGATCCGATCACCTTC